ACACTTGGGGTTCACGAAAACGTTAATGAGGATTGCAAAGAGATTTTATTGGCCAGGTATGTATAGTGAGGTGAAGGATTACTGTAGTACCTGTCCGGAGTGTCAGTTAACTGCGGGCAAAGCACCTGCTAGAGCACCTTTAGTATCAATTCTTGCTGTTGACTTTCCTTTTGAGAAAATAGCAGTAGATGTTGTTGGCCCTTTGCAAAAGACCCAGAAAGGCAATAGGTTTATCCTACCAGATACCCGGAAGCATACCCATTAAGGCAGGTTACTGCAAAACAGGTGTCAAATGCACTGCTCCATTTTTTCTCACATGTAGGCATTCTGAAGGAAGTGTTAACTGAGTTAAATTCGTCAGGGCACGAATTTCATGAGCCATACACTGAACCAAGTCTATCAGCTGCTGGGTATTAAAAGAGTGCGCACTAGTCCCTACCACCCCCAGACTGATGGGCTGGTGGAACGTTTTAATAAGACCATTAAAAACATGCTAAATAAATTTGTGTCTGAAAGTGGCAAGGACTGGGACAGATGGTTGCCTTATCTTCTTTTTGCTTATCGTGAGATGCCCCAAGCGTCCACGGGATTTTCACCCTTTGAACTGCTTTTTGCTCATCATGTCAGGGGACTGTTGGACGTGCTGAAGGATAGCTGGGAGGACAACGACAAGCCACGTAAGCGAAACTTACTTTCATATGTGCTGCAAATGAGAGAAAAGTTACAACAAGCATCCACCACAGCCAGAGAAAACTTGCAACAGGCTCAGGTGAAACAGAAAGCCTGGTATGACAGAAAAGCCAGGGCGAGAGTGTTCCAATGGGGTTATACGTCCTCAAGTGGGGAAGATCGAAGCCATTAAGCATGCTGAGCGACTGGTAACTAACAGGTACGATCTTTCCTTGGTCTAGTGGGTTGGTATAGACGCTTCATCCCTCAGTTTGCTACGAGAGCCGTAGCTCTTACTGACCTTACTAAGAAAGATAAATCTAACAAGGTTGATGGACTATGGACAATGCTTTTAATGATTTGAAAAATGCTTTTCTCCTGTTTGTTGCTGCCGTGTGGTTTGAGTTTGAGCTCCGTCAAGTTAATTCTTTGTCGTCTAATTTTTATCTTAAACATGGGGTTATACGTCCTCAAGTGGGGAAGATCGAAGCCATTAAGCATGCTGAGCGACTGGTAACTAACAGGTACGATCTTTCCTTGGTCTAGTGGGTTGGTATAGATGCTTCATCCCTCAGTTTGCTACGAGAGCCGTAGCTCTTACTGACCTTACTAAGAAAGATAAATCTAACAAGGTTGATGGACTATGGACAATGCTTTTAATGATTTGAAAAATGCTTTGTGTAGTGAACCGGTGTTGCAGAGCCCAAAATTTGATCAGCCATTCACCATGCAGACGGATGCTTCAGAATTCGGTCTTGGGGCTGTACTTCTGCAAGGGGGCCAGGATCAGTGGCGCCCCATTGCCTATATCAGCAGGAAACTACTCCCAAGGGAGACAAGGTACTCTGTTGTTGAGAAGGAACGTTTAGCTGTGAAGTGGGCACTGGACTCTTTTAAATACTACCTTTTAGGTAGAAGGTTCACTCTGGAAACTGATCATCGGGCCTTAACTTGGTTGGGGCGAATGAAGGACACTAATGTCCGCATTATGTGGTGTTTTTTTATCAATGCAACCTTTTGTTTTTGAGGTAAGGGCCCTCAGAACTGTACAGCGGATTTCCTCTCTAAGACACCACAGGGGGTGTCAAAAAGAAGGGGGAGGAAATGTCACGGCGCTAACCCGTGACCATTTATGAACTATGGGTACGTACTCTCATAACACACACACACACACAGCAGGTAGCATTACACGGTCTGTTTGCCGGCACTGACATCTGTACACAGACTTATGTAATGCTTGAATCATACGAAGCTTGTGTAGGATGTGTTTGGTGTGTGTTGAGTTAATGTGTGTATTATGATCTGAAGTCTGTACGTTCAATGTGTTGTGTGATTTAGCCATTTAACATAACGTGACCGCATGTATAAGTTCTGTTTATACCAATACTCATTGTACAAATAACCATAAGACTTATTCATGGTGTTAAACATTTATTTGATAGAAGTTCATACAGATTAACAGATATACTTACTAGCAGTGAAACATCAGTTGCCAAATCCGTGCTGTACAAACCTTGAGGTATTTAAACCTGGTATTTGTGTCACCTGAATAGACCGGTCCATGTTTCCTTGAGGTCAGTAGAAGGGTCTATACAGTTGCAGTGAAACAAATGTATATCTGGTTGGTCTTTCATGCTTATGTCTTGTGTGTTTAAAACTGTATTGATATTTGGGTTATGTATGTATTATGTGTCTGTATGGCTAAAGGTTGTATATGGTAATTGTGCCGGGGCTTACCCATAGAGTGGTACGCTCCCGAGGGCGGGGTTTAGAATGTAAAATGTGCTTAGTTTTGCTTAAGAGATGTGCTCTGGCGGCAAAGGTGGCGTGCTCGTGCTCATGTTTGATTCACAATGGCAGTGAATTAACTTTTTAAGATTGTATAGTTTTGATTGGGTTGTTTTTGTAATATGTCTAACTTTATTCTGGGGACCTTTGTCACAGATTGCGCAATAAATGCACCTGCAATGGGACTTTAGTGGACTGGTTACTTTTTACCCCGGCCGCAAAGGCTATTCCGGACAGTTTAGAAAATGTTAATAAAATATGACAAGAACTCAAGAGTTAAACTGAGTCAGAACAAATTCAGCTTGATAATGTTAGATAACTTTGATAGAAAGGTATGTAGCCTAATGGATTACAATCAACCAAAAATTAGACAGCTGTTAGTATGACAGTATTTACACAACTATCATGTTTGGTTTGACTGTATATCCTTCGGTTATTTTTACACTTAATTATGCCCATTAAAATGTATTTTACAAGTTTTTGTTACTTTCACTTTTTTTGCTCTATGGTACATCATCTTTAATTTAATAGCATTAGAGCTGCTCCATTGCAGCGGCTTAGTTCTGTAATCACGCGCTTTGCTGTAATAATGCAGTTATAAATCTCCTAACTGTGATATTTTCAGAAATAGAAGTCGTGTTTTTTCATCTGAAACGTGCTGCGATTTATATTCCAAAGCCACTCATATAATGCAGAAACACTCAAGCAAGCAAAACACGCGCAACGCGTGCAGGTATTTGTACTGATGCAGAATAGTACAGCCTAGCGCATTTCACACAGGCTGCTAGATTCACTTTTGCCAGAAAGTCGTGTATGCCTAAGGTTGAAAATGATGTTTATAGCGAATGCCCCTATAAATGGTTTTATTTTTACGATTTAGTTTTAATCCAAATTATACAGGCGTTAACACTGAACGTTTAACATTATATTGTCACAGTGTCTGGTTGTGGTGCCCTGGACTGGCCACTTGAGTATAAACTTCTATGTTTTATGTGTTAAACCCCATTTCCCATAGTCCCTTGCTTGTTAATCTGTTCTGATCAGTAGCACCTGTTTATCATTTACTCATTACCCCATCTATATATACCATGCTCACTCTGTCTGTCTTGGCTGCTAGATTGTATTTGTCTTCTGAGTTCTTAGTTGTTTCATGTTTTTCGTGTTATCTATTGTCACAGTGTCTGGTTGTGGTGCCCTGGACTGGCCACTTGAGGGCGGTCTATATCCTGTTTCTATGTTTTATGTGTTAAACCCCATTTCCCATAATCCCTTGCTTGTTAATCTGTTCTGATCAGTAGCACCTGTTTATCATTTACTCATTACCCCATCTATATATACCATGCTCACTCTGTCTGTCTTGGCTGCTAGATTGTATTTGTCTTCTGAGTTCTTAGTTGTTTCATGTTTTTCGTGTTATCTGTTCTCTGTGTTTTTGGATTACCTTTTGCCACGTTTTGTTCTATTCTGTTTAATTTGTTACTTAATAAACAACTGCACTTGGATCTACCTTGTTTTCTCCTGGCATTCCGTGACATATTCATTGCATACATATACTTTGTAGACATCCTTAATCTCTAATAACTCCATTCTGTTGTCTGTGTTTCATTGTCTAAATATGGCACTTATCACATGCTGTGTGGTATCGGCGTTTGGTATCGGGGCATTTTAACGAGTACGAGTACAGGAGCTCAGTATCGGGCCAGATACCGATACTGGATCCCTAGTTTATGATGTAAATGAGAACGAGCCACAGAATCAGAAATGTCATCAAATTTATGAATGTTCTGATTTATCATGATCAAACAGAAGCTTTATTATGTCATTGTTTTTGAGATTATTTTTTTTAATAAATTTGATTTTTAATAAAATATATATTTTTAACTTTCTATTTTTAAGTTACTATTGCCTGTTAGCTTGTTAATATCTCCATGGCTTATTTTAATTCCAAGTCACGAATGAATGTTTGAACATTCTTAACAATGACACCATGGCAACAGAGTTTGATTGACATACCGGGATATCCGCCCACATACACAGGGTCATTGGTATCGGCGGAGGCAGAGCGGACGTCTGGACTCGCTGCCGCGGACTTCTTGCCGTCCACGACGAGCTCCAGGCGGTGCTTCAGCTTGTGGGCGGAGACAGTGTGCCACTGTCCATCACAAATATAAATTTGATTTTTAATAAAATATATATTTTTAACTTTCTATTTTTAAGTTACTATTGCCTGTTAGCTTGTTAATATCTCCATGGCTTATTTTAATTCCAAGTCACGAATGAATGTTTGAACTTTCTTAACAATGACACCATGGCAACAGAGTTTGATTGACATACCGGGGTATCCGCCCACATACACAGGGTCATTGGTATCGGCGGAGGCAGAGCGGACGTCTGGACTCGCTGCCTCGGACTTCTTGCCGTCCACGACGAGCTCCAGGCGGTGCTTCAGCTTGTGGGCGGAGACAGTGTGCCACTGTCCATCACAAAGCCCCGCCTCCGGATCTGTCTCAAAATATTCCTGCTGAATGACTAGCTGTAAATGACTACAATGGATCCTCACCAGCTTTAGCATAGCCTGTGCCATCAAAATAAGTTCCTTTTTCTGGGTTGGCGAAGCAGGAGCCCACGCGGTAGCTGGATGTGGGTTTCTCCATGTCCAGCAGCAGATTCATCATCTTGAAGTTCCTAATGCAGGCGTCGATACTGTACAGCACCTACAAAAGCACAGGCAACATCAGACGGTGGCCTCAAAGGGTGTTTTGACTCTAATGAATGTGTGTGTGGTTGTGTGCTCACCGGTCCGATGCGTTTGGTGGTGTAGTTGAGCGGTAAACCTCCCACATACAACATTCCCACCACATCCAGAATATCAGCTTTCTTTGGGCTGGTGGTGTGTTTGGAGTAACGGCCGTCAATCACGAGAAATCCTCTCTGCTTCTCTCTCGTCACACGGATCTAAATGCAGAAGGAGAAGAAATCAACACTTGCTTGCTTTTAATACTCTGACCTTCACACACAACAAGTTCAGAAGTTTGTAAGAGGTCTGTAAGATTTTATTAACGCTTCTGAAAAAAAAGTCTCTTCTGCTCACCAAGGCTGCATTTATTCGATCAAAAATACAGTAAAAACAGTAATATTGTGAAATATTATTAAAGTTTTTTTTCAGCATCATTACTCCAGTCTTCAGTGTCACATGATCTTCAGAAATCAGTATAATATGCTGATCTGCTGCTCGAGAAACATTTCTGATTATCATCAATGTTGAAAACAGTTGTGCTGCACAATATTTTTGTGGAAACTGTGATACATTTTATTTTTCAGGATTCACAGATGAACAGAAAGTTCAAAAGAACAGCATTTATTTGAAGTAGAAATCTTTTGTATCATTATAAATGTCTTAAGAGTCACTTTTGATCAATTGAATTTATCCTTGATGAATAGAAGTATTAATTTCTGTCATAAATAAATAAATGGTAGTTCAGTGACACGGCATGCTTGGTGCTTGTAATGCACTGGATAAACATGCATCAATTATGTTTCCGGCCTAATTACGACCCATGGATCTTTTCCATGATCCAGGTCATCATAGAATATGAGACAAAATATTATTCAAAAGCACCCTGGATGAGCTGTGTGCTGTGAATCAGGTCAGGCAGGGAAAGTGTGTCATGCATCAGGGGTCAAAGGCCAGATGCTCTGACCTTGTGCCACTGTCCGTCGTTGATGATGCGCGGCACGCTGACGGAGGTGTTGCCGCTGCCCAGATCGTAGCTCAGGTGAGCCATTCCCTCCTTCAGCTGGATGGTGGCGAAGTCAGCGTGGTTTATCCTGGCCATGTAGAACACCAGCCCCGAGGCTGCTTCTGTGCGTATCTCGAACTCGATGATCAGCCTGAGGAGCAGACACACACGCATGAGGATGATGACGAGGATGAGGACGACGAAGACGATAATAACTGACACTCACCTGTTCTTCACCTTTCTGTCATCAAACTCAAAGGCCATGTGACTGTTTCTGGAGAGACCGAACTGTTTGGCCAGTTCCAGCACGACAGGCTCCGCCTCTGCTGCGCACGACACCTGCGTGATTGGAAATTATTATTGGTTAATTAGCTAACATGTAAAGAGTTAGATCATATTTCTTTTTTTATCCTAAACCTTACTGACGTACTTCAACAAATGTGATCTCAACAACTCTACAGATGTGGAAATGTTTATAATGAATTAAGTGTTAATGCAAATTCTGACCCACCAAAACATTTAACTGGAGATGGCAAAAGAGATGTCTCTACTAAAAGCACTAAACAGCAAGTACCACAGCACGAGTTCTGAAGTGCTGTTTTACAAAGTACAGGCAGTAGATGGAGCCAGACAACAGCTGATGGAGCTGCACTCAGTAATAGCATCAGCATTCAGTTCTCAAGTGAGAATAAAGAGCTTGTTGAACAAAGAAACATACTGTGGCTCCTCCAAAAACGAAGCTGCAGAAACAGCGCAAGCAGCATAAAGCAGATGAAAGCTCACTAAATGTGCTAAATGTGCGTCTGAATGGAGGAACTGTAATATTCACACTATCTCTGATGTCTGTGGGTGTGTGTGTGTGTGTGTGAGCAGGTTAATACCGCAGTTCCTTTGACACTGGTAGGCGTGTCTGGGATGGGCGTGGCCTCTGTGAGGGGCGTGGCCTGACAGCAGCAGAGTGACAGCAGCAGTGAGAGACATCATGAAGACAGAAGAGCTCAGGTGAAGCCAGTCGTTATTACAGCATCAAAGCATTATGGTGCATTAAACAGAAAAGAAACATGGTTTCCCCCGATTTGTGTCAAATTGTTAAAAATGATGTATACAAATGTTGTACTAATCATATTGTATTATAATAATGTAATTGTCAATGTTATTATTTTAGTTTTGTCACAAAGCACATCGTTGACTAATGAAATTCCACAGATGTGTGACTGTCAGAAATTCTTCTTCCTGTCATTTCAGTTCAACATCTGACCAATTCAGATTCACATTCATCAATTTAAAAGAGAGTCAGTTCTGAAATTCTGAATGCTGATAGACAGCATGTGTACTGAACACACACACACACACACACACACACACACACACTTTCTGGACAAATTATATTTTACATATATGCTAAATGTACTGTATGTTCAGTACAAGCTCAATGAAATATATTTTTAACCTTCATATACCAAAATGTATTTCAAAATGTATTTCAGAGGCACGAAAGTACATTTCAATATTTTCAGATGTGTTACTTGTTATTATGTGTTATAGACACGTGTTATAGACAACAAACAAAGTTTTTCTTTAAATGTGACATGTAAACATTTTCTCAGATTGAAGGGGAAAATATATTTTTAAATGCTTTTAAAATATATATATATTTATATTTTTGTTAATTTATTTAAAAAAATATACAAAAGATGGTTGAAAATATATCGGTAGAAAATATATTTACATAAAACATTCTGAAACATATTTTAGCAAATATATATATACATAGTTTTGGCAATTTTTTTAATATTTTGAAATACATTTAAAATGTAATTAAAAATACATAATTTTGCCGAAAAGAAAATGCACAACGCGGTTTCATGTACAGTAGCGAACGGCTCACTGCATCTACTTCACCCAAACAAACATGTAAAACATGCTTTCATCCCTGCTGGGATTGCAAAGCTACTGCTCGTCAGAGGCAAATAATGGTGCAAACTATTTAGAAGGACATCTCGGTCCAACAAAGCACAAAACATTAGCCAAAGGAGTGAGTGAACAAAATTAACTAAATGAAACACTTTACAATAATGCCTTTATAATTAGACTAATATTAGTTAATGCATTAGGTATCATGAACTGACAATGTTTAATTTATACATGAGCTAATACATTTTTAACATTTAATATTAAGTTGTATAAATTGTACATTTATACATAGATTCATGATTCCTAATGCATTAAATAACACATTATTTAATGCTAATAATTTCAGTTTTACCATTATAATTGTTGGCTTTTTTTTTTAAGCACAATATGGTCACCCTACTATAAGTGCCTTATTTAACTCATTAGAATGAATGAAGTGAATGAAGCACCCGTGAGAGTCAAACATAATGAATGAGAAAGAATCAATAGACAGTGGCTGCCCGAGAGACTGACTAACATGCAGAAAAGTCTGGACTTAGCCATCACCAGCAGACCACAGACTTTGTAAGTATGGAAACTGGGATGCGGTCAGTCTTAAACTACAGGAATCATACAGGACTCTCTACCCACAATGCATTTGTTAGGACGTACAGTAGAGGCTGGTGGTGGAGGCCGAGCTGCTTCTGTAGGGATGAGTGCTGGTTTGGCTGGAGCCTCTTCCTCTTCGTCGTCCTCCTCCTCCTCCTCCTCAGGGGTCTCGGGCGGGGGTGGAGGCGGGGCCAGGTCAGGACACTGCCCAATCTCTGCGTTCTCAAAGGCCACGGGCTGAGAGAAATCCATGGGCCTGTTTCATTGACAGAAACGAGACACAACACACAGCCGCTCTTGAGGGAACGATGACACAACGTGACTCCAATCAGGTGAATAATGAACACGCTTATGAGCAAGGACAGACTCATTTAAATGAGTCTGGTAGAGGGCAACGGGGTTCGCTCTAGTGGAAAAGACACACAGCCCACTGGCAGAGATTCATACTCCTCATTAGAGCAAGACAAACTGTGATTATTAATGTCATACAGCGTTTAGCTTATGACTGCACCTCAAAACTGCACTGGAAGGAAAACAAGACCTTTAATCTACAGCCACGGGAGGCTGGAAAAAATGGGTCAATGTTTACACCAGTCGCTGGTGTGTACGAGTCACTATAGCACAGTCCAGTCGTGACATATTGCGGTGAATTGTGCTCTGGAGGTCGGTACATTTATCATGGGCTGTTAAAGGTGACCTCGAAAAGCTTCGAAGGCTTGCTAACGTCTTTGCCTTGCTATTATCTGAATAACAGAAAGCTGTGACGTGCCAACATCACTGATTCTGGTGCTAAGACAGAACAACAAACTAGTTTTACCAAACAAAAGGAACGCCAAACTAATGCCTGAATTTACACATCTAGGCTTTTGAAACCATTTTGTCATTCTTTATCCAACACCTAAAAATAAAGGCTCTCATTACAACCAAAAATGGGTTTAAAGTCTGATGCCATTGAATCCTGAGCAACTGATGGGGCACACAAAACCAGCCCAACTGCTAATCAAAACAAGCCCAAAACTAGCCCAATTATATTCTTTTCTGCGACTACCCCCTCCATCGAAATCACATTCCAGAGTAAAAAACCACAGACCTGGCAACACTGATGGGGCAGTTATTAGGAACTGTAGCAATATGTGGTTTAAAGTTATAGTTCATCCAAAAATGAAAATGCAAACCTGTATGACTTACTTTCTTCTGTGGAACATAAAGAAAGATATTTTAAAGAATGTTTCAACAACAAAAAACACTGTATGGACAAAAAATATCAAAGTATCTCATCACATGTACATGTTTCATTTTGGGTGAATTGTCTCTTCTCTTAACTTTCCTCAATAGAAACGTCACCTTCATTAGTTTATCTTATCAACTTCATTAGTTTTTATCTTTTTCACAAAACTATTAAACTATTAAGCATTAACTTGCATCAAGCCATTCAAAGGTGCAGTGTATTGACAGCTAGTGGACAATGGAAGATGCCAAGCCTTGCACTGTAAGCTGATGAGTTGATTTTTCTGTGTTTTAATGTCTTTGGTTACAGTTTTTTTCGATGGATGCCGAGGCTTTTTAGGTCGGGTAGAATCTGTGATCTCTGACCCAGTTTATATGTTCACTTCCATGGCTACAATACGCTGTCTTTTTCATCAACTGGCAACCCGGGGTGTCAAAATACTATTGGGTAAACTGGCAGAGGGCGGAGTCACACAGACCAAAACATTAACAGACAAAATTACATACAGCACCTTTAACTCGACCAAAAACATGTATTTTTAATAGAGATGTGAGGTCAGGATGGATGGATGATGAGTTTGGACATACACTGTGTTGATGAGAAGGTTCCAGATGCAGCCCTCAAACGGCACGTTGGGCCGCTGTACACCTGTTTCTATGTCCGCCGGGATGCCTCCGATGAAGAGCCGATGGATGCTCAGAGGATGATCGTTGGGTAATGGCTGCTGGAAGAGTGGCTCTTCATCCACCTGCACAGTGAATAATCTGCACACGCACATGCTCCATTAGTTTCAAAGAGGCTTGAAAAACAAGACGAGAGAAAGAGAGAGAGAAGGTGGTCTTACGCTCCCGAGAGTCTCTGGATGCGCAGTGAGTGCTCTCTCCCATCATGCAGTATTCCCTTATCCGCTTTTCTGAAAGCTCTGCGTGGACTCTTGCTGCCTGTGAACACCAGCACCTCCAGAGCCCCTTTATTCAGCTGCACAGACAGGAAGGGCTGCAGACACACAGACAGATGGGATGAGGCTTAGACAGCGACCTTGTGTAATAAAAGATCAGTGGAAATCACTATTACTAATCACTTTTGTTGCTAGTCACTATTGTACGCAGTGTTAGAGATCTAAACAATCCCACAACTCAAACTAATGAACGTCCATGAATCTGGCATCTGGTTTGTGCTTCAGACATGACATTTTCTTCAATTCATGTGTCGCACTGTCAGCAATGCCCTAGCAACCAACAGATTACCTTAGCAACACCATATAACAAACTACCTACTATATACCAACATGATAAAAAATAACACTCAGAACACTATATCAACCACACAGCAACACCTTAGCAAACAACTAGAACCCCAACAACCACCTAGCAACACCCTAGTATAAACCAATCACTACATACTAACATGAAAAAAACACCCTTTGAAACACTATAGCAACCATATAGCAACAACCTAGCAACCAGATATAACACACTAGCAACCACTTACAACAAACCACTCACTGCACACCACCTGAGAGCTGTCAGTCAATAAATTGGAACAAAAGTAACTTGCGTTACTTATTTGAAAAAGTAACTCAGATATGATCTTGTAAATTAAAAAGTAATGCGTTACTTTACTAGTTACTTGAAAAAAGTAATCTGATTACGTAACTCGCGTTACTTGTAATGCGTTACCCCAACACTATAATGTAGTAAATACGGAGGGACGAGATATTGAATATTTTATTGCAAATAAATTTACAAAGCTCCCTTTTGAGCAGCAGCTAAAAATAAAAAATTAAGGAAGACCCACGCCTAATCTGGACATAAAACAATCTTCCGTTATAGAAACGAATTATTTAGCAAAACCGAGTGGCTAACAGGCTCAGTGAACTTGAACAAACTCTTCTGCTGGCCTTGTCTTCTATTTGACGAATCAACTGGAGGATTCAATCCATGGATTACGACTGGTTTCAACAATATGAAGAATTTAGCTAGAGCTATGGAAAGACATGCAAAGTCTCGGAGCCACATATCTTCTGCTCTTAAGCTGAAGTTGTTCGGGCGGGTAAGAATCGATGAGGCACTCGGCCAGGCCGCTGCCATTGGGGTACTGCGGCATAACGAGCAGGTGGCGAAAAAACGTGATCTTTTGCGCAAACTGATCATTGCGGTTCTAAATTTGGGCCAACAAGAACACGCATTTCGTGGTCACGATGAATCTGCTACAAGTAAAAACAAAGGGAATTTTGTACAACTTCTAGAAACCTTTTCAGAGTTTGACCCAGCACTTGCAGAGCATCTGAAAACATCCACCGTTTTCAAAGGTACTTCAAAATCAATTCAAAATGACATAATTGACAGTATAGCCACTGTTGTAAATAATGAAATAGATTAAGAAATTCAGTCAACTGATTTCTTTGCCAGACAAGCAGATGACACTACCGATGTCTCATGTAAATGCCAGCTGTCATTCTCCATTATGTGAATGTCAGTGGCGCTATTTACGAGAGATTTCTGGGTTTCCACGACGTTAGCGCCGACAGAGACACCGAATCACTTTCTGAAGCGTTAATGAAAGTAATTCAGAAGTACAACCCAGAGGCCAAGTTAATTTGTCAAACATACGATGGCGCAAGTAGTATGAGTGGGCAGCGAGGGGGTGTGAGGGCCCGTGGGCCCGTGAGGTGCCCACATGCAGTTTTTGTGCACTGTTACGGCCATAGGTTACATTTAGTGTTGGCGCAGGGGACGAAGGGACGAAGAGATGCAAATATGTTTTTTGGACGGTTTCCACAATTTTTTTCTCTCGATCACCCAAAAGGACCGCTTTACTGACTGAGGCTGACAATTCAGTTTGAATTCCCGGAGGCTCGGCTACTCGGTGGAACTTTAAAAGCCGCGCCGTGAATGCAGTATGTGAAGCCCGCCAGAGTCTGAACATTGTCTTTGACCGAATCATGACGGAACCAGGCTGGGATCGCTCAGGCCATGGCACTCAAACAGAAATTGCAGGATTTCAAGTTCATGTTTCTGCTTGATGATTTTTGGACATACCGATGTTTTGTTCCAGGTTCTCAAAGCTAGATCGCTTGATTTGAGACAGTCGTTTGACTACATAGATTCGACCCTTAAATCACCGAAAGCACTTCGTACTGACAAAACATTCCAAGAAGTGTATGACAACACTGTCCGTGCTGTTGGGCACGAGGATGGTCGAAGGAAGCGGTGCCGCCGCGGCTGGCGAGACTATGAGGAAGGATCTCACTGCTGCGAGCAGGGTGAAGATCCAAGCGTCACTGACTCTTATCGATCTCTGTTCTATGAAATTATGGATGCAGTTATATGTC